AGCCCATGAAACAGCAGACTATAAGCAATTTACAAAATTGGATATGCAATGGTGTGGTAACGTTATGAGATAGACTGAGATTATGAGATGATTTGAAAGGAAAAACAAGACATTAACATGACAAAATGTCACCACCTACTTGCTCACAATATTATTAGTTCAATGTTAAGTCAGATTTGAATTTCTGAGAACTTGTACATGCTTTTGAAAAAAAATTGGTCAATTTGAGGCAAGTTGAAAAATACCTTTTTTGACCCTAAGAAGGTCATTGAAGATGAAATCTCAAATTGATTTTAAAAGAATTGGTCAATTTGAAGCAAGTTGAAAAAAGAACTTTTTGACCTTCAGAATGTCATTGAAGATCAATTCTTTTTTGACCTTGAGAATGTCATTGAAGGTCAAATCTAGTCAGTTTGAACTTTTGAAAACTTCAAGATGATTTTGAAAAAATAGTCAATTTGAAGCAAGTTGAAAAAAAACTTTGATCTTGAGAAGGTCAAATCTCAAATCTAAAGTCAGATTTGAACTTCTGATAACTTGTAGATGATATTGAAAAAGAAATTGGTCAATTTGAAGCAAGATGAAAAATACCTTTTTTGACCTCGAAAAAGTCATTGAAGGTCAAATCTCAAATATAAAGTCAAATTTGAACTTCTGAAAACTTGTATATGATTATGCCAAAAACTGGAGTCAGACTAAACATTATTTGTTAAGTTATTGCAAGTTTTAAAGTCCCCGTCTAAAGTTTGAAAATATTTTTTTATCATTCATTTACTATTTGTCTGGACTTAAAAAGTAATTTTAGAGATTTTTGAACAAAAAAAAATTTTGATAAAAAAGTTGTGAGCATTTCATTTTTCAAATATTCAAATTTCCCGCCATTTTAACACCAATGCAAAGATTGAAATAAGGACACACTATTTCAATAATAAAATGCCATATTTAATGGGCCACTTCAATGTTTTAGCATATCAAAAATATTTTGAAACATTAGTGATGTCACTAAGGTACCAAAAACTTTTTGAAAAAAATTGAAATTATTTTTTCGATGTCAATCTTTTCTTAATATGTTAGACTTTCATAAAAAACAATGTTGATTGTCTAACCAGGTTAAAAGGAACAATAAATTATGTTTTAGATATCATTGTACCATTGGTTTCTATGAGAACTAAAATTTTGAAATGCATTTTTCTCAGAACCATTTTCATGCACTGATAAGTTCATTTCTCGCTTATTTATGAACCGATTTTTAAATTTTTTTCGGCAAAAAACATGGGAGGATGAATGCTATGCATTGGTATGCATTGTGGCTAATTAGAAATATGAGGGACCTCTAAAAGTTGGTTTTAAATAAATTCATAAATTTTAGAACAAAAAGTCTATCAAAAACCACATTTTGAAATTTAAAAAAAGTTTCACATATCACACTTTGATAACATTGGGTAAGACTACAATATAAGCCAAAGTGGTTTAAACTTTATATGGGGCCTTTAAGAATCGTTACAGATGCCAACCACCGATTGCCAACCACCAACTACCAACTGCTTATCGCCGCCACAAAAATACGGAGACAGTGTGTTCATGACAGACGGTATTCATTTCCTAAAAAAATGACATACTTTACAAATCCACATGTTCACTTCAGATATACTACTAATTAAGATCTCAAATGTCAACTCCAAATTGACAGTTATAAGCACTGGTTCATATGACCAATTAAAAGCATTACATAACAATTCTCATTATAATTATAGGCATTCCTCTGGTACATGAGGTCACATTGTTATATGGATATGTAAAATATGACTGTAAAATATGGGAAATATATATCCATATATTGGTGGAAGTCAAAGTACATGTACGATACACTACAGGGGCGTAGCCAGCAATTGTCAAGAGGGGGTTGCAACAAAGTTCATCAGTCTACTGCATGTTACGCCTGCTTTGGACAATTTTGATATTCTTACATATTGTAGATTTAAATGTCCTCTTTTGAATATCCGTAATTGAATTTGGATGTTATTTCTATATTTTTCTTAAAACCAATTATTAGCCCAGTAGACTGTTCTCGAAACCGAGACTTGTCTTTTACAAATTATATGGTGCATATTTCAAACTATAATTTGTTACTTTTTTTCAACAAATTCCACAATAATATAATTTATAGCATACCTATGATGATGTATAGTGCAAAGTGTACACAAGACAGCGGGCCAATATAAGTTTTGAAAAGCCCGCGCCCGCTAACTCTCTGATTGGTCAAGGCGCTGACGTCATAACCAATCAATCGAAGTCTACATCATCATAGGTATGTTATAAATCGTTTATGTCACTATCATGGCACATATGCCACGATAGTGACATAACCTCTAAATATACGTATACATACATGTGCATTAATAAACCTGAATCCACTGGAGTGCAATGACCAATGGATGCCTCAACTAATGAGTAATCAATTACAACCCTCAGTGATGAATTAAGAAAAGTCAGATAGAACAGGGGATATTCCCCTAGGGTTAGCGGTATGAAATTATCTGCCTAATGCAGTAAACATACCATCAAACTAAACTATTCGCAGAGTGAATAGTGAAGTATGTGGTAGATTAAATGTGATTTCCTTTTACACAGTGCACCTAGTGTAAAGAGGGTGAGAGCCTGTGAAATAAATCAAGCTCAATGTAATATTGTGCCTTATGATTATGATTATGTCTATTAAGCCTTATGATCATGTTCTCATGGGGTGATTTATTTTCAATAAAAGTAGTAGCCATTTCAACTTTTTCTGGAATTATTTGTAACACTTTTGACCCGTGGCCAAAATAGATATCATTGTTATTATATACACCTATTTGTATGATTTCAAGCAAATCAATGAAATAATATGATTTATGACACAAAAAAGATGTTTTGACGATAAAAGTGGTGGCCATTTTCAATCATTGGGACATACTGTATATTGCTGCAGAACCTATACTTTTTCAATAAATGAATGATATACTTTTGTAGTTAAGACCAACGAGAGCCGAGAATCAAATTCTTCGCAAGCTTTTTGAGCAGAGTCATAGGAGGATTTCTGAATGAATGATTAACAGAAAAATTGAAAATTTCGACAGAGGTTATAAAATATTTCACTTCTGTTGACACAGATATATTAGGAGGCCAGGTTGGACAGACAGACAGACAAGTGAGTAATTGCAATGGTTCCCCATTTTAGCTACTTAAAAGGCAACACGTCAATATTAGTAAAGATGATAACATTATTATGTTGTGCTACTCATGTTATATTTCACAGAATCTGATGTTCCATGCATATGTGGGTCACATCAAAATTATCACATCAAAATTATCACACCAAAATGCATGGTGATATTAATTGAAGAAAATGAATTTCTGTGAAACAAATTTTGGAAAATCCAATGTCAAGAAATTCCTTATTTAATATCAAATGGGAAAATTCTGGTATCTTCTATTACTATGGAGACACAGATATTCTATCCTGCTATCACCCAAAATCATTAAAATTTAGACTGCATCTGACATTCTTATATTTCTCAATGATTCGAATGGCAATGATACAGAAATAGCGAAGATTGAATGAAGAACCATTGAGGCATATAAAAATGTCAAATGCAGTCTAAGCTTGGATGATTCAGCGTAATTGCTCACTTGTTACATGTCAGGTTGGCATGGCATTGAGAGGTTGCATTAAGTCTTCATTTAAATCAGTGTCAAGTTTTCAAACTGTGTCAATTTCTTGTCTGGCCTTGGAGAGAAATATATCTAGTTTCACACTCATCTATATCAATAATCTGCAAAAAGCTAATGAGCCTATTTAAAGCAGATATATAGCTTAACATTGATAGAATTTAAATAGAATACATCTTAAACTTTAAGTTTAAAAAATAGATCGATGTTTTGGTTTCAAATTTTAACTCATTTTAAAATTGAAAGAAAACTCCCCCCTAGGAAGTCCCCTTTACATTGAAATACACTGAAACGACTGCCAGGCTACCGCATTGACATTGCCCCTCTTTACCAGTAGTGCACAAGACTTCTAACCACGTGTCTAACTTATATACACATACATGTATATTCATACTCAGTGCCCAAATACAACACATGATGAATGCACCAGTCACACCAGTGTAATTCTTGTGTATAAGCTAAGAGAGTAGTGGTCGGACTCGCCTGAAAATCTCCACTCGAGTGGGCCATGAAAAACCACGATTATATTCGCGATTTGACTTAAGTTGAGTTACTTCCGGTTTCAGTTTCCCAAGTAGCGGCAGAATTCATCAATTTGATAAAGTCTTTCAAGTGCCTCTATACTTTTTATTGTCTAAATCGTATTGCACATCCCTATAGATCGTTAAAGTTCACCCCTAGTCCCCTATAGATAGTAAAACTTACCGGATAAATAGTGAAAACAAACTTCGTCAATCCAGAAAGTTCCAGGATGCACCGCGGTAGACAAATTTTAAAATTCCCGGCTGTTGGATATTCCCAGAATGCATCAAACCGGAAATGAAACTTTTGCATAAAAATAACGAAAGCAGAATAAAATCCAAGTATGTTTGTCCTCCGCACATGGCATTAAATAGAAAATAAGTTGTATTCTATACAGATTAAGCAGAATATTACAACTATAAGCATGGAAATTGTGAATAGTAGAGACAAATCGCGAGTCAAGGTAAGGTGAAAACGAGTGAAAAATATTTTTTTGGTAAAAATTTCAAATCGTGAGTTCAAGTTTTCAACTCGATCAATTGATTTTTAGGACAAATGCGAGTAAAACTCGAGTACACGAGTCAGTCTTCCAACCACTATAAGAGAGTGCACACAAACAGATCCCCCTCTGGCTCTCTGTTTCTATGTAGGCAAATTACCACCCTGTCGGGAATATACACAATTCGTGTCACCCACTCATTGTCTGTATTTCAATACTTAGCTTACTGAATAAATCTAAAAAAAAATTTAAAAAATAATATGCATTTTACCTGTGCGTCCTATTCCAGCACTACAGTGTATCACCATGGGTGGCCCTAGAGGGTGTCCCTGCCAGGAGGACCCAAGCTCCAAGGTGCGCTCAGCCTGCTGTTTACGTACTGCAAACAGGAACTCAAGGAATGCACTAGCTGTGTGGGGGACACCATAGTCTGGCCAAACGAGGTACTGGAAGTGTGAGATGTCATGAGATTCCCCAGTCTGAAACAAGAAGATATTGCCTGTAAAGATATGTGATATTTATAGCATATCCTATGATTTTGAGAAATATCATTTGTATCTACGAGGTGATATTGATATCTGCACGAGAGAGCAAAGCGAATGAGTGCATATATCAATATCACTGAGTAGATTAAAATAATATTCTGAAAAAAATCATAGGCTGTTCTTATTATCCTACACTTACAAGGAGTGTACTAAATGTATAATATCATTGCAAAATGAATTTCATGCCAAATAGAGTCAATTTGGCGGGAAATCAACAAGCGGAGTATATCGTCATAATATCCTCCGCATATTGGGTTTTCCGGAGTATATCGTCACGATATCCTCCGGTTATTCATTTTGCCAATAAATATCAAATTTATTTTTTGATGTTATTATACATTTAGTACACTAAGTGTATGATAAGTAAGTATACATGTGGAAGAAGACGTTGCAACATAGAAGGCTTTAGCATTAGAGGCTTTTCTTCTACAAATAGCATCAATAGAGATGTTAGCTCTAAATGTTAGAGGAAAACAGTTAGCATAAAGAAACACTACACTACCTATTGAAACATCTCTGTATTGGGCAATATATCTAAATTACATCTTTGTTGAACTAAATCCAATTTGTATATTCATGAATGTGATAATTCTCATCACAATTGAATAAAATAAAACATTTTAGAACCCTTATGTCAAAGTGAACTGGATGATTAGATCATCATTTTTGTTCATGTTAAGGGGCCTTGGATAAATAGGTCAAATTAATATTTGTAAACTAGTTTGAAAAGGTCATCAAAATTATGCAAGACAAATAAGCGACGGACTCGCACCGAATCTCCAACAACTCTAATAAACACCCATATATGAAACAAGTGAAAAATCCCTGGGAATTCCATGTATGGCAATTTTTCTTTCTGAGAGTGGCTTATTTGCAACATCAGAAAGAATTAACAACATACTTTTACAAAAATGATATGGATTGTTATTGGCGAGTTTAGGGTTAAGAATGCTGAAATGAAACAAGAATCTGACTAAACAAAATTGTAATAAAAACTCCCCGATTATCTTCATTATTTCTACTAGACACTGTTGGATATTGAGCCAAAGTTATGCCTTAAGTTTTTAATTCAATGATAGATCATCATTTTTCATGTAAAAGTTGTGAAAATAAGGAGAAATGTTAAAAATGAACAAGAAAGTTCACTACCTGACGTGCCTGGAAAAACCTATTCCTGCTTTAATGCCGAAACAAAATTCTTATACTTGAACATTTCCTTGATTCATTATGGACTATTTTGAGATAATATTAGTTAAGTATGGTGTGGGAAGCACCCAATAAGATATATTATTTGGAAGGATGCAGCGAATTACAAAATATGTCGTTCTTACCACATTTTAATGTAGGTAATGATGAAGTTCTCTATTATTGCCCACTTGATTTCTTTGGAAATTCAATTTCTTCTGATATACTCGATAAGACTTGGTCATTCCTCATTATTTTTTTAACTTTGTGAAGCGGGGTGGGTGCTTACTGTGGAATAGGTGCTAAATATGGCAAAATCTAATCACATTTTATCGCAATTGTAACCAATGAATGCTGTGGCATCATGATAAAACATATATAAACACATACTGTCACAAGCTTTGGTTGTACATGTATAGGGTGGGCCAAAACATGACACTCTTGATTTATCAAAGTATACAGTACTTCAAGCTCTAACAGCAAGGAAAATTATCACTGAACATTATTTATTAAATAAGATTTAATTTCCAACAATAGGACATACTTCTCAACAATATTTTGTCACTAAATCTATATTTTTTTTCAAAATGGTGGGTATTGGTATATTTTCTACCCAAGTTCTTCATAAACATGGTAAGCCTATTGCTTTTATTTTATGAATGATACATCATAGTATAACATACCTATGATGATGTATAGTGCAAAGTGTACACAAGACAGCCGGCCAATATAAGTTTTGAAAAGCCCGCGCCCGCTACCTTTCTGATTGGTCAAGGCGCTGATGTCATAACCAATCAATCGAAGATAAAACTGCGCGAGCAATTTTTCTAAACTCATTTCAATCATTTTCAAACCATTTGTTTGTCAATTCTATAAGAAAACGGTAATCTCTGACCAGTCTACATCATCATAGGTATGTTATAAATCGTTAATGTCACTATCGTGGCACATATGCCCTCGGTTCTCAGAGATCAATGTCCCTCCCAAGGTCGGGCCATATATCACTGAGACCTCGGGCATATATGCCACGATAGTGACATAACCTCTAATTATCAAACAAGCTGTAGTTTGAAGTATGTGCCAAATTAAAAAGAATTTGTATTTTGCTCAACAATACATGTATATGCATTGATCAGAATGGAAAGCAGCATTTGCAAAAATTATCCTGCAATATCATATAACTGAATTTATAGTTACTACAATTTGTGAGAATTTTGTGTCTTTTCATTGTCGTTTTCGGAAAGCCAAATGAATGGCAAAATAGGCATTAATAATGCTGTTCAATAGTGAGCAATTGGTAGCAATAGAAATATCAATATCATCATAATTGACCTTTAAAATTGTGGAGAAATTCAGATAACCTATACAATTCAGAAACTTATACAATTTTGACATATTTGACAACTTGGACTACAGGGGTTTCATTAGCAGCAGGCAACAGGCGATTTTCACCGGTTGTTTTCACAAAATTGCCTGTTGTTTTTACAGACTTTTCAACTTTTCCATATTAAATTTCCATTGATTTTGCCTGTTGCTTTAATTTATTTAGCCTGCTGTGATAAATTCTAGTGAAACCCCTGGACTATATGATATTTTGAAAGTATTGGTGCAAAATACACATTCTAAATATGTATCCTGAAAACAGTGATGCTAACTTGATAAAAAGCCTGTGCTGGCTTGAACTGTCTATGGTCCTAGCCAGGATAAAGATACCAGCTCCTGTCAGATTAATACAGGTAGCTGTTTCTACCTTAGGACATCAAGTTACATTATCCTATCACATGTATATGCCCTATGGTGTCTGTGCGAGATATGTAACTCAAATGAAAATGAAAAAATGAATCCTGCCTATTGCTTTCAATATATACCATGTACATAGAAAATATAAGTACACTGTAAATTAATGTACTTTGAATACAAGTAAATTCAGGTTATTCCGTAATCAACATGTACTATGGCTTAACAATCTGTAGTAATTAATGATTTTAACAGAAATGCCATCTTTTCTGATGGCAGAACTGTGTTCTAGTATTTGCTATATATTAGATTTTGTCAATCGATTTTGTGGTTTTATACCCAATCCTATTTATAATTGCAAGAGATGTCATTATTTATAGTATAATAACCAGCTACAACATTACAAACATGGCTATAAAAATGTGCCACGGGGATTCTATGATTTTCAAATACGTAGAGGGATCATACATTTTATGCAAAAAATTCATCAATTCTATTTTTGATAAAAAAGAACACTTAAAAATCAATAAGTCCTTTAAAGAATTTTAATTGCTACGCTTGCGCTTCTATGGATTGAGATCTTATTAGAAAGGTGCATTAGGCAGTATGGGCTACATGAACTGTAATAAATACTAAAAGTGATAAAAATGTTGTTTTTGGTAAGTAAAAAATAAATAAAAAATTAAGTGTGTGTAGATCTGGAAGAGATCATGCAGAGGGAGATTTGACATGTAAAAACTGGAAGAATTTGCAAAATTTCTAGTATTAAAGCAAGTGTGTCATTAAATGAATATATAGTCAAGGTATGGGTAAATAAGGTCAGCTTGTATGAATTCTAAGTGGTTTTAGTTTTAAAGTATAAAACCTATCAAATAGGTGGATACCAGCACCTAGCTTATACTGAGCAGGAATGGATTTTAAAATACAATATATATCTGGCCCACCCTGTATGTGTGTGAATGTTTTATCCCATCTGGTTGTAAGAATTATGTAGATCATAAATAATTGAGAACCTTAATAAAAGGCTATATTTGCACTTAGTGTCAAAGTATATTCAATCAACTAAGCATATTTAATCAACTTCAAGGCTACTAAGTCTATTTTTCACATAGAATAATTTTATTACATAAAGTTTATTACTCTATTCAGAGTTATTGATCCGTAATAGTTTTACGCTCCTAGTCCTACATGATGTGTTTATCTTGATGAATTCACAACGTAATTACTTAACACAATTTAATCCAATCAAACCAGTAACGTAAAAATGTAAGTTGTAAGCTTTGGGCCTGCAATTGACCCTTTTCCATATAAATGGAAAATAGATGGCATCATGGGTATTGGTAGGGCTTGGGTGGGGCTAGAAAACATGTAAATGTATCGCCAGAGTCAATTAATTTCTTGATTCAATTCCATTCAATTTTATCTATTTCATAAATTCTTATATAATATACACTATAAAAACAAGCTGCTAGACACCCTAATGGGTATATGTTGCGGTTTAACAGAAATTGTTAAAATGAAATCTAGACTACATATAAAAGAAAACACTTATATTATGTTACATTTAGGTATATAAAAATGGTACTAACAATTAATCTAAGGATGTACAATGTAAAAATGTTACAAAAAATCAGGTACCAGTATAAAATCAACAATACAGTATGATATTGGTATTATACATTATCGATAGATGAGTAGTTTTTTATATGAAGATTTGAAAATATTTAGAGTGGAGCATTTCATTGAACAAATTCGATTTTAGATTTAGATTTTTCCAAGGCCTTTGACATTCTGATACAAAAACTTGAATATTATGGCATCAGAGGAATTAGTGGGGTCAGTTAGCTGTTTAATTCCACTTGCTATATCGTCGCGTGAGAATAACTTTGTACTAACTGCCATTTTCAAAAAAATTGAGATAGACATGGAATTTTACTATTTGAAACACAGGCTTTCATCTCAGATACATGCCCCATCTCAATTCCCTCTCATTAAGCTAGAATTCAGTGTGA